GTAGTAGGGGATGCCGCTGCCGGAGTCGAGGCGATCCGTCGTGGAGAAAGCCTGCACTGCCCACGACGCGTCGTCCAGGTGGCCAGCCATCTCCTCGCCTCGCGCATTGGGCCTCCTACGCGCGGGCACTCACATATGCGAGGGGGGAAGGAGAAGAGGGCCTGGCGCATATGCGGAGGGATGCGGAGAGCTTCGACGCCCGAAGTGAAGTGGGTACGGGCAAGAGCTTGGCACGATGCCCAAAAGCAAGCGCTGTCCAAAACCGACAGCGGCCGCTGCTGGGCAGGCGGCCACTTGTCCCGAACGGGCAGCGCCCGTGGCGACGCAGACAGCGAGCCCTGTGCACAGTGGGCAAGAAGCGCTGTCCGTCCCAAGCCTTCCCGCACCCGTGCCGGCCGCACCGAGCTAGAGACTCCCTGCTCACCCGCGGACAGGCCGCCGACGCGGCTCGGACTCGCGGAAGAGAGGGCCGCGCCCGCACGCGACCTCGCGCGGGCAGCTCGCGCGCGAGGATGCCCGGGGCGGCCGACCCCCCGTGCTCCCAACGCCGCGCACCTGTGCGCCGCGGGGAGACCGCGACTGGCGCCTCTGTGGACACCGGCTGGGCCTGGGCGCATTCGCTCCACGCGGCGCGCGCCTCCAGGGCCCCAGAACGTGGCGGTGACAGACCGCACGATGGCCTCGAACCGAAGAGACCTCACCGCACGGCACGGTGCGTCGCCGCACGGTGCTGGGACCTCGGCGGCTCCAGTCGCCCGAGACATCCTCCGAGAACGGAGCAGAGTCCAAAGACCGTGCGCTCACCCTGGATGCCCACTGACCCGCTCGACGGTGTGGTCGCCGCACCGTTCGAGTCTCTCCTCGCGGCAGTTTGCACCCACCGTGGCCCTGGCCGCGCGGAGCGTGATCACCTTCGCGCCCCGATCGGCGCAATGTGCGTGCTCACGCCGCCGGGCCAGAGGAGCGAAGGCTGGGCCCCCTGACTTCGCGCATCACGCCCGCGAAACGCAGCTACTGAGCACAAAGAGACACCTGACCCTTTCGGAGGGGACCCAAGTTAGGAGGGCCGAAAACATTAGGGGTAGGGGCCCTTCTCTGCAGATGCGTCGAACCAAGCCGCCCAGATCTGTCAGTTATCCCTTATGCCAAGACGGGGACCTCAGTGAGGCTACGTCTTGATCGTGTTCTTGGGGTGAAGGGCTCTTTTGTTCTCGATGACCTGACTCTCGGCGACAACCGAAAGTCTTGTGCACACCGAGGTACCAGTCTTCGAAGCAAGCCCTCGGTACACCGGGGTGTCCAGTCGTCGCGTTCTTAGGGTGAAGGCTTCTCTTATCCTCGCGGTGCATTACCTTCGCGCCCTCGCCCCGCCCCCTTCGCCCTTCGAAGCACGGCCCCCTGCGCACACCCCGGGGCGGCCCCGGGAGGAGGGAGGGCGGCGGGCGGGAGAGGAGGGGCAGACGGCACGAGTGGCAGCAGGGGCAAGAGATGGGCGACTTCGGAAGCCCTGAGCCCAAAAATTTGTTCCCGTCTCTCGGGGGCACACCTGGCGCTTCCGCCGCCTTCCGCCGGCCTCCGCCGGCGGAGGCGGCCTCGTTTTGCTTCACCGCCGACCTTCCGCCGCCCTTCCGCCGCCTTCCGCCGTGGAAGAGGTGACAGCTCCTTCGATCCTCCCAGGGAGGTTGGAGCTTCTGGGGACGATCCTCGAAGGGAGGAGGAGGAGGAGGAGGAGGAGGAGGAGGAGGAGGAGGAGGAGGAGCAGGAGCAGGAGCAGGAGGAGGAGGAGCAACGCCCCAGCTTCGATCCTCGAAGGCAAGGCCCTTTTTTTTGGAGCGCCCCAGCTGGCACGCCCCGCTCCTGGGTGTGAACCTCGCGGGGCGGTCGTCGCCTCGGGCGGGCAGGCGGATCACGTGGAGCTTCCGCACCTCGTCCCCCTCGCGCAGGACGTCGGTGGCGACGAGGTCCCGGTCCTCCTGCAGCTTGCCGAAGCCGTCCACGATCTTTATCCGGACATCCTTCGGCGGTGCAGACATGGGGCCTGAGGGACCCAGACCCCCTCGAGCAATGAAAAAAAACAGGACGGGAAGTTGTTCGCCATGTTCGGCCTCTCGGGGCCCTTACCACCTTACCGGGCCTCGAGAGGCTGTTCCGTTTGACTCGTCGTCGTCGTCGTCGTCGTCGTCGTCGTCGTCGTCGTCGTCGTCGTCGTCGCCATTCAGGGTCGGAGGCATTGGCCGTAAGGCCTTCGCAATCATGACGGGAGGTGTTTCGCCATTTTCGGCCTCTGGGGGCCCTTACCAGGCCTTGGGACCGTCGTCGTCGTCGTGGCCTTCGCCGCTTCCCTCCCCTTTCCCTAGGCACGTCGCCGCTCCCCCCCCCTCTCACTGGGCCCTCCTCCTCGGAGCGCGCCAGCCACAGCGAGAAATGTAGCAACGCTGCAGTGGAGTCGGAGGGAGGCCCCCCCTTCCCCTTGGATCCCTTCCCCGCCGGGGGGGGGGGGTCCCCGGGGGGGGCTCCGGGGAGGGGTCCCGCGGGGGGGGTCGCCACCTGCAGATACGACTCCCCCCCTCGGGCGATTCGGGGGCCGACGAAAAGCCCCATAAGACGCGCCAAAAGTGCCCCAGGGTGCTCCCAGGACGGTCCTCGAGGGCCCCGAATCGCCGAGGTATCGGTCCAAGTCGCCAAACTGGCCTCCAGGCGGCTCAAAAGGTTTCCCAAACGCCCCAAGGGGCCTCCAAGAGGACTTCCAAGAGGGCCCCAAGGCGCAAAAATTATATATTCCCCTTAGCTTTTCGAAAGATTTCGGCATTCTCGCCTTGTCAGCTTCCCGACGCTCCAAGACAGGCCAAGAGGCCCCCAAGACCGCCCCACGATGGCCCAAGAGGCCTCCAAGAGGCCCAAGACCGCCTAAGAGGCCTCCAAGACAGCCGAAGAGGCCCCCAAGACGACTCCAAGAGGGAGCCCAGACGGGGGACCCGAACGGTCATTTCGAGCCCTCGGTCTGAGAAGCTCCCGGGAGGCCCCCAGAGACCTCTAAGAAGCCCCCCAAGAAGCCCCAAGAGGCCCCCAATAGACCCCCAGGAAGCCCCAAGAGGCCCCCACGAGGCTCCCGAGCGGCCCCCACGAGGCTCCCAAGAGGCCCACAAACTGCTCCCAAGAGGCCCCCGAGAGCGCTCGTCGTCGTCGTCGTCGTCGTCGTCGTCGTCGTCGTCGTCGTCGTCGTCGTCGTCGTCGTCGTCGTCGTCGTCGTCGTCGTCGTCGTCGTCGTCGCCATTCAGGGTCGGAGGCATTGGCCGTAAGGCCTTCGCAATCATGACGGGAGGTTTTTCGCCATTTTCGGCCTCTGGGGGCCCTTACCAGGCCTTGGGACCGTCAAAGACGACTCGGGATGAAAAGCTGGTCCCGGGGAATAGGTCGAGACCTCGGGGGGTTGACGTAATGAAAAATCATGACGTCGGGGGCCTGCGGGATGGAGCCTAAAGGACGAGCGGCCTCAAACCGTTATCAAGGTTCAGCTTTCGACCCGATTCCTCCCTGAGATCCGAAGTTGCGAAAAAAATGCAACATCGCAGAAAGTCACGACCGGAGCCCTATACACCCCATCGCTCTGCAGCACGTCTCGGGCCGGGTCGATCTACGATGGACCCAGGGCTCGAAGCCAGGCGAAATCGCCCGGCGCGAAAAACAGGCATCGCCTGGATCTCAGCGCTGTCCCTGCTGGGCCCCATCCCCAAGGGCCCCAGCTTTGCACCACACACAGCCTCCAGCGCCCCCGCGGCAGCGTCCGCGCAGCCGCCGGCGGCCCCCACGTGGAGCCCAGGGATGCTGGACAGCTCCGGGAGCGTGAGGGCGGCAAAGGTTCCAGTGTGCAGCTTTGAGGGCTCGGCCTCCCCGCTGGGCGGCGGGGGGAGCAGCGCCCAGTCGTCCCCCGGGCCTGGCTTCAGGCTCGGCTGGCCCGTGGTGGCGAGCATGCGCTCGAAGGGGCGGCCCTTGAGGTCCACGCGCCTGGTCGTCGTGCGCGTGATCGCGTGGGTGGGGAGCATGACGTACCGCTCGTCGACCTTGCCGACGACCATGCCGGTGTAGCCAGCCATGGCGTTGTGCACCGCGTGCTGCGCCAGGACCGTGCAATACACGCTGTCGTTGGCGTTGGCGGGGACGGCGCGAATGGTGTACGTGGGGTCGATGTACTTGACAGACAGGGGCACCCGCATCTTCTTAAAGTATGCAAGGAGCTGATCCCTGAGCCAAGGGCCCACGTCGGCCAGCTTCTTGTTGCCGCCTCCGTCTGTCTCGCTCGAACTCTGGACCAGAGTGTCGCCGCAACCTTCCGCAACCACGATGACGGCGTGGCCTCTGGTCTTGATGAGATCCATTGCGTGCGAGAAGACGCGGGGCAGCGAAATGTCCATCTCTGGGATCATGCAGATGTCCACACTTCGTGCTGCCAGTGTCGCTTGCATGGCGATGAAGCCGCAGTGCCGGCCCATGAGCTTGACTAGGCCGATGCAGTTCGGACAGCCGCGCGCCTCCACATAGGCTGCGTCGATGGCCTTCTCCGCCTCCTCGCAGGCGGTGTTGAAGCCGAAGGACCTGTCCAAAATAGGGATGTCGTTGTCTATAGTCTTCGGAACACCCACAACAGCGACTTCGTGGTTGATCTCTTGCGTGCAGGTGAACGTGTCGAAAGCCCCGGTCTGTGTGCCATCGCCACCGATGACGAAATATTGCTTGATGTTCATGCGCTGTAGCGTCTTCGCGATCTCGATGTGCGGAGGATTGCCACGATCGCTGACGAGCATCGTTCCGCCCTGCGTGTGAATGTCTTGCACCACCTGCGGCGTTAGCTCGATCCACTCTTCTGGCTTCACCATGCTCTTATACCCACCGATGCACCCAAAAATCTTCTTCACCCCATAATTGCTCAGAGTCATCACTATCTCCCGGATGACAGAATTCAGCCCCGGGCAGAGACCGCCGCACGTGACCAGCACTGCGGCGCTCGTGGCCGGGTCGAAGTGCAGCTGACGACGAGGACCGCTGCGCAGCATCTGGAAGTAGGTGCGGCCCCGGTCATCGTGCCGGTTGGCTCTTTCGAGCGGCTGCAGCGACCAAGCGTCGTCGTTCACGAACACCCCCTCCAGCGCGCCCGCCACTGTGTTCGGGATGTTGGCGGAAGGGAACTTATCCCTGACATTGACCACGCGGAGCTGCTTGACCTGGTGACCTGGCTGAAGGCAATCGTTGATGCTGGCCCTGGTCGAGAGCATCTCGAGAACATCTGGAGGCGACCGATGGGACTGAGCCCGTTGATCCCCATCGTCTGGAGCGAAGTCAGGCTGCTTCGTCGTCTCCAGCAGGCGGGCGAACCACCGCCCCTTCGGATTGACGCGTTTTCCGGTCTGCTGCGTGATGGCGTGTATGGGGACGTACACGTACTTCTCATATACCTTACCAACGGTCACCCCACTGTAGCCAGCCATTGCACCGTGCACCGCCATCTGTCCAAGCACAGAGCAATAAACACTGTCGTACGAGTTGGCGCAAACCGAGCGAATCATGTACGTCGGGTCGATGTACTTGATACTGAGGGGCCTGCTGAGCTGCTTGAATCTCGCTGTGATTTGGTCCTTCAACCATGGCCCCACGTCGGACAGCAGTTTGTTTCCACCTGCGTCGGTCCCGCCCGCACTCTGGATGAGCGTATCGCCGCACCCTTCTGCGACCACGATGACAGCGTACCCCTTAGTCTCCATCAGATACTGTGTATGCTTGAGCACCTTCTCGAGGCTGATCTGCATCTCGGGCAAGAGGCAGATATCCACGCTGCGAGCGGCGAGCGTAGCGTTCATGGCAATGAACCCACAATGCCGGCCCATGAGCTTCACAAGCCCAATGCAGTTTGCGTTGCAGCGCGCCTCCACATAGGCCGACTCCACGCACTTCACCGCCTGGGTGCAGGCGGTGTCAAAGCCGAAAGTCTGGTCGAACACCGGCACGTCGTTGTCGATTGTCTTGGGGACGCCTATGACTGCGCACTCGTGGTCTATGTCAAGGCAACAGTCGAAGGTTTGCATGGCGCCCTTGTGGGTGCCGTCTCCACCGAGGACGAAGTACTGCCTGACGTTCATGCTCTGTAGCGTCTTGGCCATCTCGATGTGGGGAGGGTTGCCCCGGTCGCTGATGAGCATCGTGCCGCCCGAGAGGTGGATGTCCTTGACGAGATCGGGGGTGAGCTGAATCCAATTCTCGGGCTCGACCACGCCCTTGTATCCGCCGCGGATGCCGTAGATCTTCCGGACCCCATAGTTCCACAAAGTCAGCACGATCTCGCGGATCACCGAGTTCAGACCTGGGCAGATCCCACCGCAGCTTACGATGGCTGCCGCGGACGCTGGGTCGTTCGGGTCGAAGTGCAGCTGCGCTCGCGGACCGGCACGAGTCATCTTCATGTACGGCGTGCCCTTGCCCGAATCTACTCGCTCGCCAAGGAACATCGCCTGGGAGACCCAGGAGTGGCTGTCGCAGTAGACTTTGATACTCTTCTTGAGCAGTGGGTTTGGTAATTCAAACTTCCCCCAACGCTCGCTCAAGTGGAAGCAGCTCAGAGCGCGGATTTCGGTCTGATCGGTCAGAAGGTCGTCGCGCTGCAATGCCCTTGTTTCTACCAAATTCCCGTAGCCATCGACGACGGCGAGAGTTGTATCTGGCACGCGAATGGCATCTGTAAACTTCCCGGAGGGAGTGCCTCTTGAGGAGACCAAAAGGTTCCAATACCGCTACTTCCTGGACATCTCCCAGGGCGCGTTCTGACAAGGATTTCGAGGCGAATCCAGCGGTGGTGACGAGGGCATCCCAGGAGGCCCCAAAACGAGGAAAACGGGCGCAGGTAGCGGGATCGGTACCTTTTCCTCCTCTGAGCCTCTGATGTTAATGCTTCTCGTCCTCGAGGGGCAACGACAGGGGGGACTGACATAGGAGAGGAAACATCGCCCTGGAATCGGCGATACATCGCCGACAGATCGGCGATGGGCCCCCGATAGTGAGTCCGCACGTTCCTTTGCGGGGTGGGGCTATCAGACCCGTGTCGGCGATCAATGGGCGATTGGGGGTCGATGCATTCCCCTATGCCTATCCCCCACTGTTGCCCCTGAGTCCTGGTCCCCGTCAGGTCCTTCGAGGGGTCCATCGGCTTCGCTTTGGTCTGGCCCAGCTCCCCGAAGTGGGGCTGGCCCGTCGTTGCGATGAGCCTGAAGGGGCCCAGGGAGGCAAAACAAAAAGCACTCAAAATCTCAGGATCGCCCGTGTTCTTCAAGATGTCCTGGGCGTTCGTCCTCACCTCCGCTTCCTATGTTTTCCCTCTACCCTGGGAATCGCGATTATTTGTGTCTGTGGATTCTGTCCCTCCTGAGAGCCGCTCGAACACTCCCCCCTTGACGTCGACGGTGCGGCTGGGAAGACTGGTGAGCATCTTGATGGGCAGGTACACTAGGCTCGAGTCCACCTTTCAGACGAAGGCAGCACCGAGACGAACTCGGATCGATCTAAATCAGAAATCTCTGAGAATCGGCAAGCTTGGAGGATGCATCGGGCGCCGCGGCCGTTCCAGAGCGTCCCGTAAGGCTCTGAGAGCGTTCTAGAACGCTCTGGAACAGATTTGTCTCGATTCTGGGACCGCCCGGACCTTGCCCACGGTCACGCCGGTGTACCCCGCCATAGCGCCGTGCACCGCCGCCTGCGCCAGAGCAGCGCAGTAGATGCTGTCGTTCGCGTTTGCCGGTACGGCCCGGACCATGTAGGTGGGGTCCACGTACTTGACGGTGATGGGCATCCGCACCTCCTTGAAGTGAGATCCGATCTGGTCTTTCAGCCACGGGCCAACATCCGCGATCTTCTTGTTACCTCCAGCGTCCGTCTCGTCGTCACCCTGCAGCATCGTGTCGCCACAGCCCTCGGCCACAACCATTACGGCGTAGCCCTGGGTGTTGATCAGCGTCACACAGTAGTCCAGAACCTTATCGATGCTAATATCCATCTCAGGCAGCAAGCATATATCCACGTGCCGGGCTGCCGTCGAAGACAACATAGTAAGGTAGCCACAGTGGCGCCCCATCAGCTTCACTAGTCCGATGCAGTTTGCATTGCAAGTAGCCTCAACGTATGCCACATCGATCGCCTTCTCTGCCTCAGACAGCGCTGTGTCGAATCCGAAGCTCCTGTCAAGCAGATTTATGTCGTTGTCGATCGTCTTCGGGATTCCGATGACAGAACACTCCCAACCAATATTCTGCATCTGCTCGTATGTCTGCATGGCGCCTTTCTGTGTACCGTCGCCGCCAAGCACAAAATGCTGTCGGACACCCTTCCTCCGCAGCATCTTGGCCATCTCGATGTGTGGGGGGTTCCCGCGGTCGCTCACGAGGATCGAGCCCCCGTGGTAGTGGATGTCCTGGACGCTCTCAGGCGTCAAGGTCACCCAGCACTGCGGATTCACGACGCCCTTGTAGCCCCCCTTGATCCCGTACACCTTCTTGACCCCGTAAGTGTAGAGTGACATCACCTTGGCACGCCCGAAATGGGTGCGAAACATGTGCGTACTATGCCTAACAGCAGAAGTGGTCCAAAATCGATAGCGGCCGCTGTTGGGCAGACGACCTCCTCTCTCCAATTGTCATCGTCTGCGGTGACGCCGATAGCAGGTCCTGATCATAATGAACAGGAGCTGCTGTCCGGCTCCGGCACCGTTCTTTCCGTACCCGTTTCGATCGAACCAGAACACCAGCTCCCGGATGACGTCGTTGAGACCAGGGCACAGACCCCCGCAGGTCACGATGGTGGCGGCCACCTCCTCGGGCACAAAGTGCAGAGTGCGGCGGGGCCCCGCCCTGAGCATCTGCAGACTCACGCGCTCGTGGCCCAGCGACTGCGTCACCCACGACTCCGCGTCGTGGAAGCCCACGTCTCCGGCCGTCTTGATCTTGGCGCCGAGCGGGGAGGGGTGCTCCTGCAGAAGAATGCCAGCCACGCACATACACCGATCACCGCCAGGCCCAGCCTGTGCCCAGGATCGGTGTGTATGAATATATATATATATATATATATATATATAGATATATGTGTATATATATATATATACAAGACTGCAGTGGCGCTTCGCGCCATGCACCTTGGTCCTTGAAGTTTGGTATGCAGGCGGAAATGGCAGGAAGGTCAAGCCGACAATTCAGCGATGACTCCTTCCTGCATTTTCTGGCATCGCCGTTATAATAATGTTGTTCGTTATCCTTCCTCCATGCTTATTTTTCCTCATTCTCGCCATACCCTGGGCATTCTCCCCATCCTCCTCAGCTCTTTTTGCGGAGGCTTATCCTTGGAGAGCCTCTGGGGGCCTCACCAAAGTTCTCAGGCTTTCTTAAAGCCTTCTGGAACCCTCCTGGGTGTGTTCTGGGGGCCTCTGGGGCTTCCTAAGGCCAACCTGCCTCTAACCGCGGTCTCCCTGAACGCCCCAGTCACGATTTGGAATGTTTCGGAGGGTGTCTTGGGGCCATCTTGGGCCGCCATGGTGCTCTCGTAGGGCCATTTTGGACCCCTGTTGTGCTGTTTTGGGGCTCTCTTGGACTGCCTGGAAGCCCTTTCGGATGGTTGTGGGGCGATTTTGGAACCTCCCAGGCGGCTTCGGACGCCTAGGAGACCGCCGTCTTGGAGCGTTGGGAAGCCGGAAAGAGGAGAACCCCAGATGCACCAAAAACCTACATAGAATCAATGATTTGTCCCTCTTGGGGCCTTCTTGGGGGTGCTCTTGGAGGCCTCTTGGTTCGTTTCGGAGCGATATTTCGGGGTATGACGGCTTCTTGGAGCGCTCTTGTGCTGTCTTGGGGGTCTCTGGGACGTCTCCGGTGACCCCCTGATCGCCCTGGGTGTGCTGCGAAGGCTTGGCAAAACGCCCTGCGAGGCCCAGGGGGCCGCTTCGAGGCCCGTCCGGAGGGTCCCAAAGCTGCAGATCCCAGGGGTCCGGTTTTAGGGGGGGGTGACGGGTTTCCCCCCCGCCCGGGCTTATAAAAATATAGGGAGAGGAATATGCCCGTCTTGGGCGGGAATGCAAATACACCCGTCCTGGGCCCAGGATGGGCCTGACCAGAGTTGGTGCATGTACACACTGCTCTTCGCCCGATCCTTGAGGCCGTACTGCGCGCCTAGGTGCTCCAGCTCCAGCCTCCGCACCTCACAGTCCGGTGGGAGGCAGGAGAGGGGGTCCACGAGCTGGATGACGTCGGTCAGCTTGTCGACCTGAGACGACGTCAGGACCGGGACAACATCGGGCCGTGACACATCGGAGATCTCTGAGGTCTGGCGGCTCGGGCGGATGCGTCGGGCGCCGCGGCCGTCCCTGCGCTCTGGACTCCCCGAAAGCAGCCCAGAACGCTCTGGCGTGACTCATCCTGGTCCTGGGCCCGCCCGACGACCTCCTCCGGCCCGGGCTCCGGCGGCACGTAGCCGTCGGGCGCCACGTCTGGCTGCTTGGTGGTCGCCATCAGCTCCATGAACCACTTGCCCCTGACATCGACACCTCGGAGACGCGCCCCACCACGGGTCCGGGCAAGCCCCGGGCCTGACCTCGACTGTTTCGACCCAGCCAACAGCGTCCTCCCCCCGAGCGGGAGAGGCTTCGGTGCCTCACCGAAGGGCGCGCCAACGGTTCTCCGTCGTCCGCGATCGAGCCTTGAAAGAGGGACCCATTCTGCGATTGAACGATAAATGCCCCCGTCGTCCGCGATCGACCCCCCCGTCGTCCGCGATCGGACCCCCCAGGGCCACATGACGTCGCGCTTCGCGCCGCGCGCCGCGCGACCCTCGACTATCGTCGCGCCCTCGCGGCGCGCCCCTGGAGGAGCGCAGACCTCCGCCCCGCCAGCGGGACGCGAAGCGCAGCTACTCTCACGCCACTGTGCAGGCAGCATGCAGCGGGTCGGGGTGCGTGCTCCGAGCTGCTCCAATACATCGCCATGGCAAGGGTAACGTGTGGCCTGCGTGCAGGAATGGCGGAGTAGGCAGAATGGGTCGGGTCGAAAATACTCCGCGCGGTCATGCTTCCCGCCCGCTTTTTTCACAATAAATTGGGCGGAGGCGGAAGCATGTCCGATCTCGTTAAGAAGTTGTTACGGGGGGGGGACGAAAAACTCCGCGGGAGCGCAGGAGCCACCTGCCCATGTCAGGAATCTTCAGAGGGAGAGGAGGCCCCATCAACAGAACAAGCCCCATAACATTTCGTCACGGCTGTGTGCATGCCCATGCGATAGTCAGACAAGGTCAGGCAGTCCAGGCAATGACAGTCCAGGCAATGGGGGCGGGCGTTGAGCTGCGACGGCCTCATCTCGCCAAGCCCAAGTGTCGGCGGCCGCAGCGTCGTGGCCCACCGCCTGCTTGCAAGCCTGCCAGAATCGCCCTGCGACGTTCCCGCCAGAATGTCGGAACTTCCCTGGTCATCGCAGCCTGCCTGACCCCTGCGACGTGCGCCATTCTGCCCAGAGGGCGGCGCTTCTTCCGCAGGTCGCCCAAGTCCATCGGCCGAAGCTTTTCCAGTGGAGCCACGCCCAATCCATCTTTACGAAACTGAGGTCACGAATTGCCGCGGGCACGCACCCAAACGGAAATTCCCCATGCCTTGTGTGCGCCCATGCCAACCTTCGCCCTCAAGAACACTCCCTCCATCGCGGACGATGGCCCATGGTGAACGCATGAACAACGACCTCCGACCCCCACATGAGAAACTTTAGACCGATGGGACCATCGAACGACGTGTGAACTGCAAGCGGAAACTGCTCGACGGTCAGCCATTGACAACGCCGCGTAATTCAATGCGAACGGCGCGCTGCTGCTATGCTCATCGGCGTTTGAGCTTGGCGTGGAAGTCCGAAGAAGAGGTCTGGGCCATGATGGCCCAGACCACTTCTTCAGACTCGGAGCGCGGGGCGCGGTGGAGGCCCTGCCGCCTCGAACCGTCCTCGACCAGCCCTCATTCTTAGCCATCTTGCTGTCTAGGCGCCACCGCTCTGGCGACAAGGCCATCCTCCGACACTCCGCCCTCAAAAGGGGGGGGGCTCTTCGTGGCGGCGACCGGTGCCAGGGCCGCCGCCCCCGCGGCCCGCGGGCGGCCCGCGCTCAGGGAAGCATTTCGCGTCTTGCCCCATGCCTCCAACGCCGCCCGGAGCTTCTGCAAGTCCGACTTCTGCCAGCCATCCCTCGTCGGGGTGCGTCTTGAAAAGCAGCCAGGAATTCTTCGGGCTCGGACTTCCTGTCGGCCACCGCAGGGAGCCCGTAGGCCCGCGCCAACGCCAGGAGGACTTCCACGAAGGCGCGGGCGGCAGTTGCAACCGCAGAGATCGGCATGGCGTCGAGACAGAGATCGGGGTGCCCGAGACAAGCAGCTTGGTCCCAATCTGCGACGGAGGCATACCCGCGACCCTCGCCGGCGACTCGCGCCTGCGACATGCACGCGGGACCAGCGCCTGCGAGCCGACAACGCCCGCGACCCGCGCAAACGGCTGCGACGATCACCATCATAACCATCACCATCCGCATAACATCGCTGTAGCCCTGGGCTGGATGAACCCGTGAGAAACGAGATGGGCTACATGTCTTCCCATAAGCGTGGGAGGTGGAATGGTCTGTCCCTCGTGGGGCGTGGCGTGAAATCGCGCGAGGGTTTTTTTGTTCGGTGGGTGTGGGGTGGGGGGCCAGAAGGGACCGTCCTGCGTGGCTGAAGGAGGGGCGATTGGTAAACAATCTGGGGTATTCACCTCCTCCTCCTCCTCCTCCTCCTCCTCCTCCTCCTCCCTCCTCCTCCTCCTCCGTAGCCATTTTGGCTCAAGCCATTTTGGCTCAAGAATGCTGCACCTGAGGGCTCCGCGCCCTCGTGCCGAACTGGAAGCTGCTAGTCCGCAGCAGTGCCAAGGCCTTGTGCCTGACAGCTTTTGCCAGTACTGCACGGGCTTCTGGCAACCCATCTTTCGTGTGCTCCTGACGGAGCTAGTTGCTACGGCGCTGCGATGGCCCCCGCCCCGTGGCGTATCCCCGACGATGCGGAGGAAACCTGGACGAGGCAACCCTGGATCCGAGTTCCGCCTGGGGGCGCCAAGGCTGGGCAGAATCGTGGTGCTCGGTTTTACACTGTGTGCTCTTGTGGTCACTGGACTTGGAATGATCTCCTGGCCAAGAGACACAATCTATGCGTCGGGTGCCAGTCCCAGTGCCACCCGCTCAGCTCCTCTGTCGGCGGCGGCGGCCAGATGCTTCTGTACACCGGTGCTGAGGAGTCTGGATGGGGTGAGGGAGGCAGCAAGTCCAAGGGTCGCTGGCGCAAGGGTACTCAGGCGCTGCAGGTGCAGCAGGGCCCCTCCGAGGCCATCCCTCCTCAAGCCCTCGCGGCTGTCAAGGAGGCTGCTTCACACCTTGCGCCCGACCTTGCCCAGAAGTTGCTCGCTCAGTTCGTGCCCAAGCCTCCGCCCCAGCCCCAGGCGACACCCCAGGCCGAGTGGCAACGTGCATCTCAGGCCAAGAAGGCGTCCAAGGAGAAGCTCGACAAGGCCCTGGCGCGGCGAGCGGCGCTGGACAAGGAGGCCAGTGACCGGGACAAGCACCTTGACGAGCTCATGGCGAGGGATCTGGAGAACGCTGACATACTTGAGCAGGCCACTCGTAAGCTTGCCGTCGGAGTTCTCAAGCCTGCTGAGCCCATTCCCAGCAAGAACGTCATTTCCCTCGACGACCTCTTCAAGGACTCCGCTGATGAGATCAAGCTCGACTTTGGTGAAGAGCTGGACGTTTCGGGGCCAGCTTTCTCGGCCGAGGACCGCGAGGGATTTGAGAAGTTCAAGCTTGCACGGAGCGCTCACGAGCATTAAGTCCCAGTACGAAACGCACCAGGAGGAATACCAGAAGCGGATGGGCGAGCTGCGTAAGAAACGCAAGACTACGGATGGTGCGGTTGCAGCAGGGGTCGCGGCTTCTCAAGGCGCGGGCAGCCAGAGCGCCGCTTCCTCCCAGGCGCCTGCGGCTGATGCGCCGAAGGTTGCCCCCGTGGCTGCTGAGGCCCCTGCCGAGCCGACCGACAAGGAGAAGAGGATCGAGAAGGTGCGCGCTGACATTCTCGCACGGGCTAAGGCTACTGCTGCTCGGGCCAAGGTTGAGGCTCGTGAGTCGGGCTCCTAGCTCTGCAGGTGAGGGTCAAGCGTGTGACAGCTGTTCTACCTGCAGCTCTCCTGGCGGTGCGCTCTCAAGATCGGCCTCCTCATGTTCACTTTCTTCTGTACCGTCCACTTCGACGGCAGGCGGCCCCTTTTCTTTCCCGCTTTTGACGACCTCTCCTGGTGCTACTACGTCCTCGTCGGTTTCATACGACGGGCGCTCACTCACCGCGCCTGCGAAGGCAATGACCCCGCGGACGGTACCTGCTGCAAGTTGGCCCTGCCAAGACCTCAGCACGGATTCCCGCGGCGCGAGTCTTGCTGGAGGCTCGGCGACGACGCCACATGTGCTTCGGGTTCATACGACGGGCGCTCACTCACCGTGCCTGCGAAGGCAATGACCCCGCGGACGGTACCTGCTGCAGGTTGGCTCTGCCAAGACCTCAGCACGGATTCCCGCGGCGCGAGTCTTGCTGGAGGCTCGGCAGACGACGCCACATGTGCTTGCGGTACGGCCACTACTGCGTTGGTTGCGGCATCTACTGCTCCGGGCTCGACGGCGACCTCGGCCCCGTGCTCGACCTCAACGGCAGGCAGGCGGTTGCGCTGGCTCCAGAAGGCGTGTGATGTGGGAGGCGCCGCTGGAGAAGGGACGGCCCCTTGCTCCCAAGGGTGCGCGGTCCTGCGGGAGCCCGCTGCAGGGCACACCGCGAACTCGGTCCTCACCTGCAAGGACCAGGATCCTGAACGGCGCGAGGCCATTCGTCAGCGTCTTATCATGGAGCGTCGTCTTCGGATATACACTAACTTCTGGCTCCAGGACCCGAGTCTGTTGGATGAGCCCACCAACCAAGATTACTGGATGCGCTTGTGTGTCACTTATTTTTCCGACTTGCTTACCCAGGGTGTTTACGATCCTCTCGTCTTGGAGCAGTCGGCTCGGACTGGTATTGAGAACTTGGCTGTCGTGAGGCGTGACATGGCTCATGACATCTGTCTTTCGGCCTGGAGGTCCAGGAGGAGTGTGGGGGCTCGCTACCATAACAACATGCGTTTGCTTTCGCAGTCAGACCCTGATGCATGGGAAGAGGAACGTCGTCGTCACGCCCGCTCCTTGGTCCTTGCTGAGCGTGAGTTTGACACCTCCAACCGTGCCTCAGGCCCTGGGGCTATTGTCGCTACTGGTGGATCGCCTGTCTGTGCTGCTGGAAATCCTGGTTCGCCAGGTTCTGTGGTCGCAGGGCCGTCGAACCCTTCCCTGCGGCCCACGGGGTTGGAGCAATCGCCCAGTGGTGCCCCTAGTGGATCAGGCGGCGGGCCCGTTTTGTTGGATTCGCATTACGATGCGAGCCAGGGGCCGGGGCCTGACCCTGACAGTGACACAGCCCCTCAGCGTTCCTTGTCCATTGTCTACTCCAACATCAGCGTATGGGGCCCAACCGCTTGCAGGTGGGTTGCAGCATGCCCGGCAGACATCATCATTTTTGTCGAGCACAGGATGCGCGGTTCCAAGTACCAGGAAGCTTCACAAGCTGGGCTGGAAGGTTGTGGCGCAGGCCGCCGAGCCCACGCTTGCTGATGATGCATCGTCAGGCGTTCTTGTTGCCGCGCGTTCTCATCTTGGGCTCTCACAGTTAGCATGCGAGGCGGGTGAGTGGACTACGGCTGGAACGGGTCGGTGGTTGTTGTGTACCCTGAGGCTTCGGAAGGTCTCCCTGACCATCGTCCCTGTCACTTGGTCACGGGGGGTGAGCTCAGCGGTCAGAACCTCGAGCTGCTGGCGGACCTTGGCGCCCATCTGAGCGCGGCAGGTGTTCCCGCCTGTGTGGTGGGCGACTGGCAGGTGGACCAGAGTGTTCTTGAGGAGTCAGGTTGGCTGGAGCCTCTCGGCCTCGTCCCTGTTCCTATGCCTGGTGTTTCTGTTACGTGCTCTGGGGTCTCCACCAGTCGGATCGATTACGCTTTGGTCTCTGCTAGCTTCTCTAGTGCCGTCCAGTTTAGGTCGCTTGTCCCTGTGCCTTGGGGCACTCACGCCGCTTTGGAGTTTCTGGTTTTGGCTTCCCCCAGGACCATCATGGTTTGGAAGGCCATGCGACCTAAGCCCATTCCTGTCAAAGGCGTTGCTGCCCCTGTTGAAGCCTGGCCGCACTTCCTGGTGCAGGCGCAGCTGCTGCAACGTAAGCGGCCAGACTTCTTCAAGGCCAACTATGCCGCTGCCAGCCTCCTCAAGCTCGAGCATGACAACATCCGGGTTTCTCTCGATTTAGGTGCCCAGTTGTCTACCTGGATTGTTGCTCTGGAGCTTGAGACCTTCTCGAAGCCTGGTTTGGCCCAGGATCAGGCTTTCCAGTTTATAGGTCGCGGCCAGGAGCCCAGGCTGCGTTTGGTGCCCCTCACGGCCGCCCAGGTTGAGGGGCCCTGCCAGGCAGACCGTGACGCCCGTTTCTGGCAAGCTGCCTTTGTCAAACTCAGGCTGTTGCTTAAGCTTGTCCCGCAGGATTCCATAGAGGACATCCCGCCGCAGCCTGGCCGTAAGCATGCAGCTCAATTTCGTGCCACTATGGCTTGGCTTTCTCGGCAGGTGCCCCCTCCCCCGTCTGACCCTTCCGACGCGGGTCAGCGTGGAACCTTTAACTTGTGGAAGATTCGTTTTCAGCGTATTTCGGAGCTGCCGTTCGACGGGCTGCAAGACTTGCTAGTTGAGCTCCAGCAGGTGTCTGAAAAATCCCACCGTGACGCCCTTCAGCCTCAGAAGGCTTCGTGGAAGGCCTGGCTCCAGGGGGCGCTTTGCAGGTCTGCGGGGCCGGCCCATCGGCTGTTGAAGCCACCCCTGGACCCTCTGGAGGCCGAAAAGATCGGTGAGGAAGGACCCTGCTCAGCCCTAGATCAGCTCCTGGAATTTGAAGCGGCCGCTTGGGCGGCCATCTGGCAACAGCGCGACAAGGGCGAGGCGCGGGCTGCGTTAGCTGCCCTGCGTAAGTGCGCTCGGTCGTCCCCGCGTTTGCCACCAATCGACCTGGACACCCTTAATCGTGCGCTCAAGTCGTTGCCTGACCCCAGGGGTCAGGGCTTGGATTTTATTGAGCCGCGCTTAATCAAGGAGGCTAGTGTGAGGCCAAGCTCCACCTCATTCAGCTTCTAGAGTTCATTGAGGAGCAGTGCACTTTGCCTTTTCAGCAGTTTTTTGCCTCGATCGCCCTCATTCCGAAGCCTGACGGGGGAAAAAGGCCCATTGCGCTGCTCGGCTTTGTTTATACGCTTCTCTTGCGCATCAGGAAGCCTTTCATCGCGGCTTGGGACCGTGGGGCGCACGGGCCCTGGGACCAAACTGTTGGGGGCTCGGCCGACGTGGCCGGTTGGCTCGACGAGCTTGAAACGGAACTTGCCCTCCACAGCGGCTTTCAGGTCGGGGGCCTTTTGCTGGATATGAAGAAGTATTACGACCAAGTCTGTCTTAAGGACTTGGTGGAAGCGGCTCGAGAATTAGATTACCCACTCCGTCTGTTGGCCCTGGCCATCGATATCTACTTGGGTGTTCGGCATTTGTCGTTGGAAGGGGCTGTCCATCCTGGGATCCTGGCTCATGGGGGCACGTTGGCTGGGCGTGGCCAGGCCACCTCCCTTGCGCGGGCTCATTTGCACCAACCCCTCGCAGGAGCCAGCGGATCGGTCGGTGGCCTTAGGCTGCGGGAGTGGGTAGATGATATCTCAGCTCGTCTTTTTGGCACGCATTCGTCCATCGTTGCTACGTTTCCCATCCTGCTTCGAGCCCTCCTCACTGGCCTCAGGAGGCGTCGCTGTGAGTTGCCCCTGGGAAAGTCCCATCTGCTCGCTTCCTCGCCAGGCCTTCGGGCTGAGCTTTCCAGGATTGCTGTCAGTGAGGGCTGTGAGTTCTCGGTGGCTCTGGCCGCCAGGGATCTGGGGCACGACACCGCTTTGGGCGCAAGAAAGACTGTGGCTGTCAGGAAGACCCGTTTCACCAAGGGGCGGGATGCCACTAGTAAGATTTTCAGTTTTGGGCGCACGTGCAGGCAAGCCAGTAAATTGTTCTTTCCTAATGCTTATGCGAAGGCCATGTGGGCGCCCGAGATTCACGGCGTCTCTCCCTCCATGCTCAAAGGCCTCCGCAGCATGGCCCGTGCTGCCAACAAGACCCCTCAGAGAGGAGTGTGTGCCACAACCGCCATCCGTCTCACTTTTGGCTATGGCCAGGACCCCCTCCAGGTTTACGTTCGGCGTGTAGTCAAGTCGTGGTTTGCTCGCCTTGCGGGCCGCCCTGGGCTCCTCCGTCGCCTGGCCTGTCCCTGGGCGGCCTCCTTGGCCAAGGTCCGAAAAGGGTGGTCCTGGGTCCGTGGCCCGATGGCGGCTTTTCAAGCCACGATGTTGGCGGTCAGATGGCAGTGCCCCTCACCTTTCACTCTCATCGCGCCTTGTGGTGACGAGTGGCAGATGATGGAGGACGGGCACGGCCCGCTAGGCTCTCTTCTCGAAGCTTTTTGACGATTCCATCGACACCCTACCAGTGGCGCCATGCTTCCGAGCACCTCGATGGCGCTGGATCCTCACCATGTCTGGGACCTTGTTGCCTCCCTCGAGCAGGATGGGCGTCGGGACCTCGCGGCTATGATTCGGCTCTTGGTCTCTGGAGGCTATTGGACCGAGGAGAGAAGGCACAAGGCCCAGATGGCTCCTGATCCCATGTGTAGGCGTTGCCGCCGGGACCCCGAGACCTCCTGCCACAGGTTTTGGGGGTGCATGTGTAATGCTTCGTCGCAGGTCCAGGAGATTGTTGACTCTCAGCACCTTAGGCACGGTGCCCAGCAGGAGGCTCTTCAGTATCCGTGTTTCTGGATGCGTGGACTTATTCCCCTTTCCTGGTTCAACCTCCCTCCTGTGCCTGATTCCAAGGACCTCCAGGGGCGGCGTTGTCCTGGGGCCTTGTTTCCAGGCTGTCTGCCAGGAGGCCTCTATGCCACTGATGGCACGGGGGGGCAGTTTGCCAAGTTTCCTGTCCTCAGACGAGTTGCCTTTGCCTTTGTGCGGCTCCGTCCTAGCGATGATTTTGATTGGGATTGTGGAGTCACAGGTGTGCTCGACTCGGTTCGACAGACGGTTCCCCGCGCAGAGCTTGCGGCCATTGTTGAGTGCCTTCGTTGCGTTGACCCTGCCCAAGCTCTGCGCGTGGTCACTGACCATGCCAATATTGTCAAAGGTTTCCTGGCTGGCCGTGCTGCCTCTGCGAGGCTGGCAAATTTTGATCTCTGGTGGGAATTCTGGCAGCTCCTCTCGGAGCGACCTGGGGACTTCCAGCTTTTTCATGTTCCCAACCACCTGTTGGAGGATCCCCAAAAGCTCGCCCGTTTTAGCGACTCTGTAGACTGGGACCAGGTAGTGCTCAACTCTGTCGCTGATGAGCTCGCTGAATTGCGTGCTCGGGAATGCCAGGTTCCGAATGGAGTTGAACAGGCTTATAATGAGCTAGTCGGCAATGCTTGTGCCATCCTCAAGCGTAACGCCTCTATCATTCTCGAGTGTGCTGCCCTCAAGGCCGAGCCTGAGCGCAGGCTGCGCAAGCTGCCTATTGATCTTGTGCTCCGCAGGCGTAGGTGGATCGAAGCTGATGTGAGGGGTTCGTCGCACGTTTGGGGGTTCGGTTCTGGCGTTTGGACTTGTGGGATGTGCAAGGCTTCGATCTCCGATGCTGCCCCCTCGCTCCGTGCGAGGCTCCGCTCGGCTTGCTCTGCTTGTGGAGGAGGTGGAGTTGGGGGTTCGGAGTCGGTGGTAGCGGAGGAGGTCACTGTGAAGAAGTGGGCGAGGCCAGGTCGGGCCCTGGCCGCCAGGGATGATGCCCTATGGCGGCGCCTGAGGCTCGACCCGCCCCCCCAGCGTGTTGCGCCTTGGGTCGCGGGCAAGGCGGTCCACCCGTCACACGTTTTGTGGCATAAGGGTGCCTTCACTTTTTGCGGTGAATGCGGCTCGTGGGCAATAGCTCGCCCTGACTCCTTGCGGGAGCCTTGTCCCGTGGCCGCGCTGGGACCGCACGCCATCACAAAACACCAGCTCGAGGTTTTGCAGCGGGTTTGCAAGGGCCTCCCGCCGTCTAAGACCTCCACGAGCTGGATGGCGTAATTTCCTTTTCCCTGCCAGGCAACCCCTGCATCTTTTGCACTCTGGAGGTTGGCTGGCAGCGGCGCACTGGAAACAAAAAATCCCTCCTCCTCCTCCTCCTCCTCCTCCTCTTCCTCCTCCTCCTCCTCCTCCTCCTCCTCCTCAACCTCCTCCTCCCGAGGCCCGCACGCTTCAGCCTCTGCTTGGTGACGCACTGCATGGGCAGCAGGACGAAGTGCTGGTGGATCTGGGCCACGGTGACCCCCGTGAAACCGGCCATCGCCGCGTGCACGGCGTCGTTCGCGAGCGTGGCGCAGTATACGCTGTCCTCGGAGCGACCCAGGGTCCCCAGGATCAGTGCTGGCCCGAGGCCCGGGAAGGGCTTAGAGTGGGAGCAGCAGGGGGATGAGAAGAAGCTTCTGTGAAAATGACAAGTGGGAGTGCAAGAAGGATGAGGTGGAGGAGCAGGAGTAGAAGCTCCCATCAGCTGAGAGCGCGACGGATCCTCCCACGAGAGCGGGAGATAAGGCGGAGGAGGGCTCAGCAATGAGCAATGAGCAATGAGCAATTGGCAATGAGCAGTACGCGAAGACTTCAAAGAGTTGATCTACTCACGCCGAAGCTGGCCACCAACTCTGCGCAACCCGTCAGAGGCTGAGGCGGAGGCGGAGGATGAGGATGATGAGGAGAAGGAGGAGGAGGAGGAGGAGGAGGAGGAGGAGAGTAGGAGGAGAAGGAGGCCGAGGCGGAGGAGAGGGCTGCGGCGGAGGAGGCTGAGAAGGAGCAGGAGCAGGAGCAGGAGGCTGAGAAATGGGGGAGGGAAAGCCGAAAGACAGGAGGGATTGCCCCTGCCCTCATCCGCCCCAGCCGCCCCAGCCTGCGCACCACCCTTCCGACCGAAGAAACCGATCGACCGCCGCCCCCCCGCCAGATCCCAACCGACCGATCGACGGGCCCGCGGCAAACGCACCTTGCTTGCTTTGACGCGGCAACCTCAGTGCGCAAAAACCCTCAGACCCGAGGGGCGCCGAAAGATCCCCACGGCCGGATTGGGGACGGTCTCGGCCCCGAGGGGGGGGGGGAGGGGCGTTTCCTGGCCCCTGGTGGCCGAGACCCCCGAGGACCCGTGCCCCCCGGAAGAACATCACAACGGCGGAGGCGAGGGAACAGCTGTCCCTGAGCCCGGCTTCCCCCGTCGCGCCTCTCTGGTCATCTCGGGCCGCAGCACACGGCAGCGCAGCGCGCGGGCGAACCGGGAACGGAGCGCCCCGGTAACAAGCCCAAAGGCGCCTTCGTGGCCCGCTCCGGGAGCCCGGAGACCCCAGGAAACATGGCGCAGCAACGTTGGGGCGACCTCTGCTTCCGCAGGCTTCCACCGGCGGAGGCGGCCTCGCCTCGTCCTCTGCTTCCGCCGCCCGCCGCCGAGGAAGGGCTGCCAACCCCGTCGGCCCCCCGGGACGCGGGGCCTTCCAGGGCGCGGCCGCTCGCGCTCGCGGGCACCGCAGGGGTCGCCGCCGGTCGGTCGCCCGCGGGCCTCGCTCGGCCCCCCCCGCCCGGCGGATCGGGGGCTGCCGAGGCGCCGTCGTTGGCGTTCGCGCTCACCGCACGGATCATGTAGGTGGGATCGATGTACTTGATGCTCAGGGGCAGCTTCACCTGCTTGAAGCGCTCCTCGACCTTCTTCTTCAGCCATGGGCCGACGTCTGCGAGCTTGACGTTGCCGCCGGCGTCCTTCTCCCCAGAGCTCTTGATGAGGGTGTCTCCGCAGCCTTCCGCGACCACGACAACGGCGTAGCCCTTGGTCTGCATCAGCTCGAGCAGGTATAGGAGCACCTTCTCCAGGGAGATCTCCATCTCTGGGAGAAGCACCAGGTCCACGCGGCGGGCGGCGAGGCATGCGTTCTGCACGATGAAGCCACAGGAACGGCCCATGAGCTTCACCAGACCCAGACAATTTGCATTGCATGTGGCCTCCACGTAAGCTGCGTCGATGGCCTTTTCCGCCTCGGTACAGGCCGTGTCGAAGCCAAATGTGCGGTCCAGCATCGGGATGTCATTGTCTATGGTCTTCGGCACTCCCACCACAGCACACTCGTGGCCCTTCGTCTTCAGCACCTCGTACATATCGTAGGCACCCTTGTGGGTACCGTCGCCGCCGATAATGAAATGCGCTTTCACACCCATTTCGATGAGGTATTTAGACTGCTCGTCCTCTGTGGGATTCCCACGGTCACTGACCAGGATGGTGCCCCCGATGTTATGGATGTCCTGCACCAGGTCTGGTGTGAGCTCTATCCAGCTCTCTGGGCACACCACTCCTTTGAAGCCACCCTTGATGCCCCATATCTTCTTAGCACCGTACTGGGTCAGCATCATGACGATCTCACGAATCACTGCGTTCAGACCTGGGCATAGCCCTCCGCAGGTCACGATGGTGGCAACCACTCCTGCAGGGAAGGACACTATCTGACCGCAGTTTCCCCTCAAACGAGTCCCCTCCTAGCTATTTTAATCGATTCCCCTCCTACTCGCTTCTGACAGGTGGTGGATAACGTACTGTTTATGATATACCCTCAACTCCCGCTGGGTCAAAGTGTAGCTTCTCGCGCGGCCCCGCGCGTACGAACTGGAAAAAGCCGCTCGCAGAGTAGCTGATTGCCGGCGTGGAAAAACAATCGTCCCGCTCGAAGTTCGACAAAATCTCGGCCAACGGCGTCTGGACATTCCTGAAGGGGAAGTTCTCGCGGAGGTTATGCAGGACAAGGCGCCTGGCTTGAGTGCCATCCTTCATCAGGTCGGCCGTGACCAGAGGCCTCTTCATCACCTCCCTCCCCTCGAAGTCCATGGTCACGAACGCGGGCTCCTGGGAGGACCAGAAGAGGGGAGCAGACCAGCAGGACGAGCGAGGGGGAGGCCGACTCTGGCGCTGGGACCCCAAGGAGATCACACGACCCACTCTCGGGGATGGACAGAACCCCCTTTAGCAAAACGTGGTTTAGTGAAAACGACCTCGGGCCCAAACCCGGCGGGCGCAAGCCTGGAAAATAACGGCCACGGCGCCCTCTCGAAAGCCGAAAACGGACAATTCACTAATCGACGTGTCACTGTTGGGGGTTCTGTCCAGCCCCGACACTCCAGAAGCCCCGGACCCCAAAGCCCGCTGACGCCTCACGCCCACCTCCGCCGCCCTCCGACGAGCCCCTCCGCCCGCGGACCCGCCGCTCGGCCTCGGACGCCCGGGCTCTCTCGGAGCACTGCGGTCCGGGGGAGCTCCGGCCCAGGGCCCGGGAGGCACGAGCCAGGAGCTACACGTCGGTCGGAAGGCTTGGCTCCTCCTCCTCCTCCTCCTCCTCCTCCTCCTCCTCCCCCTCCTCCTCCTCCTCCTCCTCCTCCTCCTCCTCCTCCTCTCCTCCTCCTCGTCGTCTCGTCGTCCCTCGTCCGTCCTCGTCTTCCTCCTCCTCCTCCTCCTCCTCCTCCTCCTCCTCCTCCTCCCCCTCCTCCTCCTCCTCCTCCCTCCTCCTCCCCCTCCTCCTCCTCCTCCGCCTCCTCCTCCTCCTCCTCCTCCTCCTCCTCCTCCTCCTCCTCCACCTCCTCCTCCTCCTCCTCCTCCCCTAGGGAGGCGTTGGAAGTAGATTGGGCTCGCGCCCGCCCCCTGAAGAGGAGACAGGGAGAACGCTGGACTCTGAAAGCAGGAAGGCGGCCAAAATAGACTGGGACCTGGGAGACCCAGAAATACCTATTTCCAACGTCCAGCGTGCACAGTCGGACCCAGGCCAGAAGAGCACCCCTCCAGAACATGAGACCCTCCGTCGGCCACCGAGGGCGCCCTTCCTGGCATGCACAAGACCGCCCAACAGACACGAAGAACGCTAGGGAACCCTCCCCGAACCGACCTCGACCTTCTGCCTCGGTCCGCCTGCACCCCTGACCACCGCCAAGCCCCGATGGCTCGGGGCTCTGACGGTCGCTTCCTCCGCCAGCCGGCCGCAGGGCCGTCCGCCGGCCGCAGAGCCAGGGGCGAGGCGTGCGCAGAGGGGGCGAGGCCCCTCCCGGAGCGCGCCACGCGGTCGGCAGGATCGCAGCGCAGGGGGGGGCATGGGGAGAGGGGGGGGGAAGGCTGATGGGAAGGAGGCTGCTTCTTGGCAGGCGCGGGCCCAGTCTGCAGATGCAAGGCCAGCGCCTCCTGAGAAGCAGCCTCCCGCGAAGAAGCCTGCCCCCTGCCCCCGCCACCCCCCCCTCGCCATCGCTCGGGCGTCCGTGCCCCGTGCATCTGTCGGCCTCGTGCGTGCACTGCTTCGCAAAAGGTGCGACAAAAATCCTCCTCGATGGCCCCTCGCCGAGAAATCGTGCACACGCCCGAGCGATGCCAAGCCCTCTGCTCGCGGCCGAAGTCGGCAGGATCGCGGCATTCGCGGCGGGCCGACCGAGCTCGCCTGCCGGCACCGACGAGGCGGGGGCCGCCAGGCCAGCTGGCCGGCTGGCCGGCCGCGGGCCACCCGAGGTCCCACGGCAGGCGACCACCACGACGTCGAGGGCACGCCCACGCCGGGGGGGGGCACGAGGGGGGCAGGGCTATAGCCAAGGGCGCTCACGCAGCTGGGTTTCACAGCGCCTCCAGGCGCTGGGAGGCGCAAGTGTATCGTGCATCGAGGAATCATGGGGCCCGGCGGCGGGGCCGTCACCAGCGGCGGGGGGGAGGAGGAGGAGGAGGAGGAGGAGGAGGAGGGGGAGGAGGAGGATGAGAGGAGGAGGAGGAGAGGAGAGGAGGAGGAGGAGGAGGAGGAGGAGGAGGAGGAGGCGGAGGAGGAGGAGGAGCGGAGGAGGAGGAGGAGGAGGAGGAGGGGGAGGAGCAGGAGGAGGAGGAGGCGGCGGCGGCGTCGGCGGAGATCTCGCACCCCCCCCCCTTCTCCCTGCCCCGCCCTGTCGCGCGGCCCGACCGCGGGGCCGCCCTGCGCCTGCCGAGCGCCGTCGGAGCACCGAGGGCCAGCTCGGCGCTGCCCGTGGCCGGGGGGGGTGCGCCCCCCAGGGCGGCCAGGCCGACCACGGCCACGAGCCGGGGAGCCCAGAATGCGGGATGACGATGAATAAAAAATGGGAGAGAACGGTAAAATATAGTCTTCTGCTATTTCTGCACAACTTTCTGACTGGAGGATAACGATGAAAAAATAGCTTTCCAGCCCGCGGTCGGTTTTTTCTAATCGTCATCCTGGGCGCCACCGCGTGAACACGACCCCCGGTCACTCCATTAAAAGGTGCCGATGCGGCTGCTCCCCGGGGGTGCCACACAACCACAACAAAATACCCAAGAAGGTACCCAAGAGGTGCCGAAGAGGTGCCCCAAAAGGGGTGCCCAAAAGGTGTGCTCCCCAGCAGCGGTACCCCAAGAAAGTACGGATACTGGGGAGCCCAAAAGGTACCACAACCACGACTGGGGAACCCAACTGGGGAACCCAGAAGGTACCTCTCCGGGGGTGCGTCCTGACCAGGACTTCGAGGCGAATCCAGCGGCGGCGACGAGGGGGAAGGGTGGAGGTATGGGTACCTTTTCCTCCTCCGAACAAACGATGCGTTCATGTCGAGGTCGACGGTTCTTCCCCGATCGAGGGGCCCTCCCGAAAACTCCACTCGGCTGGTGGTGGTAGTGCCCTGGTGTGCCCGGAGAAATTCGTCGTCAGCGCCAGCGGGCGGCCGTCGGGGGGGGGGGCCAGCCGGAGTCCCTCCGGCACCGGGCGGTCGGTTTTACAGCGCGGCTGGCCGGCGCTGGTCGGGGGAGGCGGCGGGGTGACCGAACTCCTCTGGCTGGCGGCGAGCCCAGGAGGGGAGTCTTCACATCGAGCCGTATCGCCGATGCATCGGCGATGCGGCGCGATCCTCGGACCCCATGTGTCGGCGGCGAGCGAGGGGGGGAAGTGAGAAGGGGCGGGCCTTCTCAAAGAAGGCTCAGTTCCCTGGTCTTCTGGGAAATGTCCTTCTGCCTCCCCCGAAGGCGCTGAAAACTTCTAGGAAGGCGCGAGGGCTTCTGGGAAGCCCCGCCGCCTTCCGAGAGTTCTCTCCTTGTCAGTCCCCCCCCGGGCTCGCCGCCGAGAGGTGGCACCCTCTGACAGGCCGCCGGCCGGCCCGCGCGAGCCGAGGGGCCACGCCGCCGCGGGCCCCGCTGCCGCGGCCTCGCAGGCCCCCTCCCCCCCTCTCTCCCTCCCTCCTTCCCTCCCTTCCTGCCTCCCTCCCGCTCCACCTCCTCCTCCTCCTCCTCCTCTTCCTCCTCCTCCTCCTCCTCCTCTTCCTCCTCCTCCTTCTCTAAAACCTGCCTCCAACAGGCCCCCGAAAGGCCTCCCACGATATCCATCCAAACGAACATATGAGAGGCCTTTTACCCACAACCCAGGCACGGTGGCGAGATGGGCCGAAGGCCACTACATCTGCACATGTATGTATCGTATATGTATGTGTGTCTATGAGTGAATGAAGATGTTTTCATGTGCACATACAGTATATATATATACACCCATACATACAACTGTGTATAGATGTGTATGTATGCATATGCATACACGCATGAAAATATGTTTGTATGTATGTGTATGTAGATATGGATGTGTAAATGCATAGATGTATAGGTGTGTGTCTACATGTAAAGAAGGGTGTATACATGTATGTGTGAATGTGTGCATGAATGTTTGCATGGGTGTATGCCTGTATGTATGTATGTATGTATGTATGTATGTATGTATGTTTGTATGTATGTATGTATGCATGCATGGTTGTGTGTATGTGTGTATGTGTATGTGTATGCATACATGGATGGATGGATGGATGGATGGATGGATATATGTGTGTACGTATGTATGTATGTTTGTATGTATATGTGTATGCATGTATGTATGTATGTACGTATGTATGTATGTCTGCTTGCTGTATATGCGTATGCATATATATATATATGTGTTTGTGCATAGATATATGTGTGTGTTTGTTTGTGTGTATGCATGCGTGTATGTATGCATGCATATGTGTGTATGCACGTGTGTGTGTGTGTGTGCATGCATGCATGCATGCATGCATGCATGCATGCATGCTTGTAGACATGTTTGTATGTGTGCATGCATGTATGCATGTATATATGTGTATGTGTATGTGTGTGCATGCATGCATGTGTGTAGGTAGGTCGGCAGGCAGGCGGGCAGGCAGACAGGCAGGCAGGCATATACATGGCTATGTGTACACACATATGTAGCTATGCATGTTTGTGTGAATGTGTATGTATGTATATACAGTAGATACACACGGATGAACCCTTAATCTAAGAGTTATGTGGACCATGTCGTCATCCCCCTTGAGCCTTCCTCAAGTGCCCAAGGGCTTATGCAGCTCCCAAGCGCTCTCGGGGGATAAGACATTTCCGCGGGGCACCTGCTGGCAGGCTGATAGATCATGTGATGTGACCGCTGTGAGAAGCCCTCAGTGACAACACTGTTTGGAAAGACAGGAGAAGGACGAAGAGGACAACTGACAGCGAGAGGAAGGCAAAGACGACAGATAGCCAGCGCTGAATCAGAAAATCAAAATCAGAATTACCCTATCTCTGGCTGGCATCCGTGCTTGGCGGGGGCAGCTCCTTGAAGTTCCTCGCGCAAGGCACCATGATCTCCTGCATGACTTTGACTTTGGCTTTGGTTTTCTGCCTCGAATCCTTGACTGAAGTTGGAGGAGCCGCCAGCGGGGCCGTGGGAGTGACGACGCTCTGTCTGCCACGGAGCTGGTGCTCCATATACGCGAACGGGTCGGCCGGCTTTTCCGCGAGCACGCTGGCCATCAAATTCTGCACGAAAGGCACGAGGCCGTGCTCCTCCATATAAGAGTGCGTATCACTTACAGCCTTCTGCTTCACCCTCTGCTTCGCCTCGCTTGTGGACGGGCCGTCCTCTGCGTCCTTGCCCTTTTCGACCTCCCGCACGAGCAAATCCATCGACATTTCCGTGCCATTGCTTCCCGTTCCCAGCACCACCGAGTACCGCTCATCCTCGGGGGAAACACGAGAGGAAGGTGGTGAAAGTTGACAGGGAGGAACATGGGAAAGGGGAGAAGACGGGGACGGGGAGGAGAATGGGAAGGGGAAAGGAGGATAAGAAGAAGAAAAACAGCAAGAAGGTGCCGCAGAATAGTAAGGTGAACGCGAAGGCCGAAACGGACGCGAAGGAGAAACGGAAGAAGGAGAGAGTCGGGCCAGAATGACTGCAGCCAGCGTGCGGGAGGAAGATACGGGGGTGAACCCAGAAAGCGAACATCGTGATTTTTGTCACGACTTGTACCACCAGAGGTGCGGAAACCCTCAGGGAGCAGGCCTTGCATGCCGAGTTGTTTCTTGATGGCCATCTGGCCTGGCAAGGGCCCATGGAGGCCGAAACAAACCAGAGAACTTGTGTCAGATGTGCGTTTGGAGTCTGGGAAGGAGGAGGGGGGGAGCCATAGAGGCAGCGGCAGCGGCAGCAGAAAACCCAGAGATCCGCCGACATGACTGCTTCAACCCAGGGCCTCCAGGCCTCCCGACCCCTTCCCCCGGGGCGCTCTTGCGTCCTGGCTGGACCCATGCTTGATGATCCCGGGGCCCGATGCGGCGCCCCAGAAGCCGAATCCAGAAACAACGCTGGAATGGGAAGCATCACATTGTGCGGGCCCGACGAGGCGGCCCAGGAGCCGAAATCCAGGGCTGGGATTGGAAGCGTCAGATCGTGCCGGAGATCTGGGCTTGCAGGAGGAGGACACAAGGAAAGGCGACACCAACACCAGCAGGGCGAGGAGGTGCGAGGAGGCAAGGGGAGTCTCCCTGGTGGTGTGGTCCCCCCCTCTCGCTCGAGACATCCCCAGCGTCCTGCTCGGGGAGGCATCGTAGACCTCCTCGCTGGAGGTGGGCCCCCTGGTGGTGTTGGTATCGCTTCTCCTCTCTCCGAGGAGGAGGGCAGAGAGGAAGGGGGGGCCTTCGGCTTCAGCGTGAGCCGGGCACCGCCCAAGGGGGCGTACACGTCCACACGGAAGGGGCTCGCCTGCGGTGGCCGCTCCAGCCCTCCTCCTCCT